TTTTTTTTTTTTTTTTTTTTTTTTTTTTTTTTTTTTTTTTTTAAATCCTTACGCAGAGGCCATGCTAATCTTCTCTGTATCGTTCCAATTTTAACGGATGTCCCGAAGGACATCATTTTGTAATCTAATATCAGTCTTGGACTTGTTTCATCTAGTTCCAGCTGGATTTGAAGTTTGAACCCAGGTCTGTATTTCAACAGTTCATGATGTTTTAGTATTGTTTACCAACTGAGCTAGGCCTGCTGACTTGATTTCTTGTAGTTAGTGTTTGTGCTCTGTCATTTTGTTTGTAATCTAATATCAGTCTTCGACTTTCTTGTTGGCTTTGTTGTGTGCTGGACCCGCACTCGTGTGGTTCTGCTTGGAGAAGCTGGTGCGTCGGCTGAAGGAAAGTTTTGGACTCGTAATGCGACTTCACCTGATGATGTTCTACTTCCATGGTACGCGTAATGGGAAGAATTGTGTCCCCTATCTATCATCACTGAGAATCCCGTTAGGAGTTCAAGGTCCCACGAAGAGTTTAAACTTTAAACTTTAAACCACTAGTACCGTTGACAGTTGGGAAAGTAGGGAAAACTTAACTGGCACAGTTTTCCCAAACTCCTAAAAAGTCGGGGGCTGTGCCGGACAATGACCGCCGTTGATAAATCCCATTGGCGGCCGTCGTTTCGTTTCGGCCTCCTAAAAGATCAGAGGCCCACCCGAGGCTCCCTATTTTCCCAACCGTCGAAGGTACTACCGTCTTCACCCGAATAAAACGCCCGGTCATTATCACTGCATCTAGACTGAAAGTTGCACCAAATACAGCTATAATGACCGGGCGTTCTATTCGGGTGAAGACGGTAGTGGTTCAAGGGAAAAGAGCCGAGAAGACGTTTTGATACTGTTTATGTTTTACAGGCCTTCGCGCCTTTGTGTCTTGAAAACTCCAGTGGTCCTTGTGGATGAACATTGGCGCTTGGTGTGTTAGAAATGAGGACTTCCTGGTTCTTTTGCTCTGGTGGCTGATGTAGCTGAAGAGTGCTGTGGTTGGTCCGTCAGTCGTCACGCACACTCTGTTGCAGTTCCTTGTTCCTTTTCAGTATAGATAAAGGTGATATATTCAGGAAGTGCATGATCTGACGGGCCCAGATACAGAGCTGCCTCAATTTTCTTTTGTGTCTGAGCTGTCACACAATTCCAAACCAAAACCAAACTTCGGACTAGGTAGTGGAAGAGCAACCAAAAAAAAAAAAAAAAAAAAAAAAAAAGCAACCAGGCTGATGCTGACACTCCCCAGAATGGAAACAAGCGAGGACCATGAGGCCCACTTTTGCGGAAAAGGAAAAAAGAAAGGGTATGGACATAAAACTCAGGTCTGAAGGGTGCATCAGGCTCAATGGCCAAGGCTGGCATCACAGACCAATTCCTTTGTCCATTCTCCTGTAACAATGACTGGACAACATTTTTGAAGTCTCCAGCCTCCTTGAGTCCTCGAGCACAGATCCGCCCACATCCGTCTTCACCCGAATACAGCATGCTCTCGTCATGCCTGAATCGCATCGGGAAAAATAAGATGTATAAAAGAAAAAAAGATAAGGGTGTGTGGGTGGTGGGGGGGCACGGAACGCACATTTGCCGATCCCTTCACTTCCGTCTTCACCCGAATGCAATGCACCCTCATCATGCCTGAATTGGCTTCGCAAAGATACCTTGTACACAGTTGTGATCGGGGTGCGTTGTACTCGGGTTGCAGATTGTACCGTCGTCGTCCGCATAGAACGCCCGGTCATTATAGCTGCATTTGCGGCATTTTTCAGTCAGCTATAATGACCGGGCGTTCTATTGGGGTGAAGATGGTAGTATTTCCCTCCCAAGACAGAAAATGGGATGGATCAAGCTCTTTGTTCTAAGCTCTGAATCAGCCCCCGAAAATGCCGTCCACTCAGGCCTCTCAACCATGATGGGGAGGTGTGTAACCCAAAAAAAAAAAAGGGTCTGAATCAGCCTCCAAGAAAAAATGCATGCACATGCTGAAACCCGGGACATGTTTCGCCGTCATGGCTATGCGGCGTGTGCTTTAATTGAAAATAGATGCAGTGAGGGAACAAAGCTCTTCTCTGTTTGCTCACTTTTGTTTCCATCTCCTCCTTTTGGCCTTCCCTCCAGGTCCGTGGATGATGCGTGTGGGACCTTGTTTCCCTTCTTTCCACTCATGCACTGGCCCTTTCCTATCTTGCCAGACCTCTCATGAATATCTTCTCTTTTCCTACCATTCTTGGGAATTGCAGTGAATCCATCCATCATAACACGCCTCAGAGCGCGGTTGTCTATCTCCCTCCCCGATCATTGGACCAAGGAGTTCTGTCTCTTGACTCTCTTCTCTATTTCGTCTTTGTCAATCCTCCTGTGGCCTGCAATGGAAAAGAGGGCATTCCATAGCGCTAAGCGTACCCGGCAACCATCTTGACTCTTTTCCTTTGGCTGTGGTCACGATTATGGTGCGCTGTGTTTTGGGAAAGCGGTGGGTCAGTGAGTGGTGCCCTTGTGATCCGATGACTCGAGGGCTTTATTATTATTATTGTTATTAGTACTGATTACTTCTTATTATGCCCGAGGCCAAGTCCCAAGTTTACTTCGTTGAGCCCGCTCAGTGATGGCTTTTCAACCACCAGCGAGTCAGCGACAAAGGAAGGGCGACTTTGGAGATCCTCGGTGGCAGCAGCTCAGATCAGGGGGACGTTGATTCATGCAGGGCTCGATTTTCGATGAAAGACAGGACGAAAGGAAGTTTATCACTGTTTATGGCATTTTGAAACGGTTTCACCTTTTGCAGAGGCAGATGGAGATCCCGGGGTTTGATCCCCAGACCTTACCTCACCCATGTACAGTATCGAGTTGACCCCTGAGTGTTTGAACCGGTGACCTGTGTTTCGTGAGTTGTTGTTTGTCTGTCGTAGGACTGTGTGTATGTAGGGATTCGATCTGTTGACCTGTTAAGTAGAGGTCTTAGAGAGTTCCAGAAGTCGTAGCTGTAGATGTCCTGAAGGGTCAAGGTCGTAGCTGCTACAGTCCTGAAAGGTCAAGGTCGTAGCTGCTACAGTCCCGAAAGGCCAAGTCCACAGACTTCCGGAAGGTCGGGAAGTGGCCTTTCGCAGCTTGCTCACGTCTTAGACTGAGGCAAGCGGGCAAGTGGGCAAGTGGGCAAGTGGTGGACCAACTGCAGTACGTTCGCAGTACGATAGCGGTAGGTTAGCAGTGCGTCCCCATGCAGCCAGCGGTACGGTCCAGTCAGTCCCAGTCCAGTCCAGCAAGTACCATGGG